AATAATAGAACTTAGAGTAAATGTGGACAGTGGTTAATCAAAGGTTATCAAACTATTTTTTATTCAAGAAGAAACTGGAATTGTCATATTATTTTCAATAATCTTAAAATACATAAATAGATAATGTTTTAAAGCTAATTAAGAAGTTTTCTCTTTGGAGTTGTCTGGAAATAAATCATCTTGTTTGGTAGCATCATCTATCTTATGATGAAAACATGTTTTTTTTTTCTTGAATTAAAGTATAACTATTGAGCTAGTGAGATGGATCAGTAGGTAATGGTACTGGCCAACAAGCCTGGTGAGCTGAGTCCAATCCCTGGGTCTCACACGACGGAAGGAAGGAAGGGACACCTACAAGTTGCCCTCTGACCTCAACATGAGTGTTAACACACACACACACACACACACACACACACACACACACACACACACACACAAATGCACCCCACAGAGAACAATAAAAAATTTAAATGTATAAGATAGAAATATCTGTAATGATCACTTCAGACCAATATGCAAACTCTTCCAAAATATAAGGCTCATGTAGTAAAATAACAGATTATTTTAGTATAAAAAACTGATATGGAAGCTCTGTGTATCTAACTTTATGAACTAATTTTTAAATAATCTATCCCATGCCCTCCCTTTGGCTTGCTAGAGTGATGCATAATTTAACAGTTACAGATGTTGGCTTCACATGTGTGTAACGTGTGCACTGCCCAGAGCCCTGAGCCTTACAGAGCCCTGTGTTCACAGTGGTGTCTTACCATCACTATTCTGGAGTTCTAAATAACCTTCACTGAGGCATCCTGTATCTCTCTCTTGTGTTGGGTACCTCAAATTATTCATTTGGGACCATTGCTTTGCTTTTTAGTTCCTCCTACTTCTCTTGCAAGACCCAAGGTGACCAAAGGACATTCATGTGGTGTTTCTCACAAAAGCATCTGTCACACAGATGGAGTGTAAGTGGAACCTCTAGATGTCCAAGGCCTCAGCTTCATCTTTTCATTCTGAGTACTGACCACACCTCAGCTGCCACAGTTTGGATGAATGGACAGCGGAAGAAATATGTAACAAGTTATAAATAAGTATCTGTTGACTTATCTTATTAACCTAGTGCTGTTTTGAGGGCATTAGTTTGTTATGGAAATTACTAGGCAGTTTGAGAAAGATTAAACTATTTAAGTTTAAAAACTGGAAAGAATATATCGAACTGAGTTGATAAGAAAAGTCAAGGAAATTGAATTGAATGTGAGTTTAATTCTCGGAGGAAGAAGTGATGATGTGGGATTAGAGGCACATGCCTGAAAACAGGTATGTCTAAACATATGTCTAATATGTTTGGGGGTCCATTGGTCTCAAATTCAGTTATGTACACATGCTAGCTGCATCTGGAAGATGCTGCACAGATTTCAGAGATTAGAAGGACCCAAAAGATGGTTAGTTTTCCGATTTCTTTTTTTCTTTTTTTACTATTCTCACAATTAATTTAATTTTTTTGAAACTGTCTTATATAACTGAGTCTGATCTTGAGCTCCTAATTCTGCTCTACCATGTAAGTGCTAAGGTTATAGACATACACTGTTCTGCTTCACTCAGACTTTCCCAACTTACAATTTTTCATTAAGAAAATGTTGAAAAGAAATATAGAAGTTGAATGAAACATTATTTTCTTAATTGTTTCCACTACCTCTGAGCAGAAGGAAAGGAACTCAGGCTGAGGCTCCCAGTAAAACTAGTTGAGCTAAGCATGTCTTATTTAAACCATGAAACTTTCCTACTTTGATATATACTGTGAGAAATATATGTAACTGATTTTTGAATCATCAAATAACAAAAGAATACTTCTTTCTCTTTCTCATATTACCTGAGTGTGTCAGGGCCTTTACAGTAGTGTGTCTCCTCCCACGAGTTTCTGTCCTGAAGGTCTATCTCTTTCCCTGAATAATAGAATAGACTGCTGTTCATCTTTCACATGGTCCTACAGCATGGCATGATCTTGATTTCTCTATTGCTTTCATACACTTCTCAGAAGTGAAGAAAATAAATGGTCTCCAGATGTCTGAGCCTAGCTTTAGTTTCTGTTTATATTTATATTCCAACATGATAATTTCTTTTAGGATATTCATGATTGCTGTGTTTTCTGTTGTTCTGCAGATTACATGGTGCCATTAATGCTGTATGAAATCAAAATCTGTAAGAACAGATGATTGATTTTATGTTGCATGTAATTACTTATAGAATATTGAAATTTTGGATAATGATAATGGTGGAAGGGAAATGGGAAATAGCATTAACAGTCACAACCAAATTTATAAGCAAAAGTAAAATTAAGTTTTGGAGAAAAGCTAGCTCTTAAAACACAAAATGAGAGAAAGGCAGGCAGCTGGAGTCTGGAGAATTCCAAATCTAAATAAGGAGTAGTGGGGTAAAGAGCCACACACCTGGACCCAACTTAGAGTACCAACACAGGACACGTTAAGATGCACAAAGGAATGTTATAGAGCATGTTTAATGGCAACTAAGGCAATAAGAAGAGCTTTCATCAGGCTGTGAGAGTAGAGATTGTTTTCCTAAGTCAACATCAGAATATGATCTTAAGAACATATTCCTTGCAGCTTATGTATGCCTCATGTGTGATCCACATTGAAAAAAGTGAACGGCCTCATCAATGGTGGTGTGGTCTTCACTGCTCCTGTCAGCACTGTGTTAGCTTATAAACCAACAATGTTGCCACTTGAGTCTTAACAGCGTTTAGAAAAACTCACTCTAGAATGCTCAGCCTTGGCTTTACTGCCTGGAATGGAAGAGTGTTCCTCCTTTCCAGAGAAGGGAGGGGTCGGGCAGGAGACATGGAGAGTAAAGCCATTCTCACAGATCAATACTAAACAAGGAACATTCTAGCTGCAAAGCTCCCCAGATGACCAGAAAGTCCTCCATTTTCGTCATAAAACAATGATGATAGATGAAACATAAGCCTTAGTTTAGTTTAAATATCTCTCGAAGACTAGCTGGGAGGGAGAAGCAAATTATTTTCCCTAATTTCTGAAATATAATGAGAGTACATAATCAAAAATTGGTGACTGGCTTGAACTCACTTCAAGGGAAAGCTTGAGCTCACTGATACATAAATATTCAGACACTAGCAACCTGTTTGAAATTGCTATTGGGTGCAATTCCAAAATTAATGCATTTAATCATCTCCTAGGCATAAAGCCAAAGGCTAAAAGAGCAGAACATAAAAACGTTGGCCTTGAATTATGTTCTGAACCCTGTTGAGTTTAATTTTACTTACAAAGCAAGATATGCAGTTTGCCACTTAAATTTGTCCCTTAGAATCCTGAAAAAAAAAAAATACCTGGTTTCTTGTTATCAGCGTCTAAATTGTGGTATTCATCTGGAAAGTTCTAGTTTTAGGAGGATCAATCTAAATTACTAGTCAAGTGCACCGAGTTCATACACATAACTACGGAAGACAACAGCAGGAGAAGAAAGCAGTTTTCTACCACTTTGACTGTAGGATACAATGTGCGGTTCCGGGAAACTGGCCCCTTCAGAAGGCACAAGGAAGTTTTCAGCTACACGGAATGTGATGTATTGAAAGGGGAACACTTTCAAAAGGTTTGTTTTACAATAAGGTGATATAGTATCCATTCGTGATACAAAATTTGGAGACAAGAAAGAACAGCCTTGTAAGGAGAAGCAAGCATACCCAACAAGACTAAGCTTATCCTCACTGACACAGATCTTTAAAATCATCTCACTGGAAACAGAGGTGGGCGCACTACTGCACACCAATAAACAGTTGGCGACAGAGGCAGCTAAGAGGTTGTCATTCACCTTTCTGTTTACTGTGGGAAATTCTTACAAACATGGGTTCTTAAAATGAAAATTGAAAAGCACTTCAAATGGCTAAAGGTCAGTTATTTAAAAATATCATCTCTTGCTATGGACTAAAAGTGTTTAGTTGCATAGACTGTGCAAGAACTGGAAGCATGTGACACACATCTCTGTAAGATTGGGGAAGAGAAGCGTACTGGGTAGGGCCTTGGCGATTACTTTCTGGGGTTACAGTTACATTACTTGTGGCTTTGCACAATTCAAGAATTTTGGAAGCTGTCTATGGATAAACTATACTTAATACCAAGTTATGAGAAAAGAAAGAGTGAAAGTTTGGAGAGAAAAGAGAGTGGTAAAAAGGAGGAAGACAAAAAGAAGTGAAGGAAAAGACATGCTAGGATATACATTTCTTATTTTGACCAAAAAGGAGGCAATTTGTGCTAAGACATGGACTTAGTTGAAATAAGACAAAACTTCATAAGGTTGCAGAGATTTTTAGGGGGTGGCTCGTAATTTGAAAACACTTAGCTGTCATTTTTGCACAGACAGGCTGTATGTTGATATTTTCAGGCTCAGAAAAAAAAAATCCCTGTCATTTAGCAATTGTATACCTTCTTACATGTGAAGTTTTCTTGGTTCTAGAAGCTAGATTTTTTTGAAGTTGGTAGCTTTTTATTTGAAAGCTGTATGTATACATACATACATATAAAACATACATATATACACTCATGCATTTGAAAGCTGTATGCGTACAGATATGTATATATGTGTATGTAGATATGCATATTTGTATATATACAGCTTTCAAACACACACACACACACACACACACACACACACACACACCAACCCTGACTGTGTGACTCAAGTGTCTCAGAGCAGCTATGCTTTTGAGTTTGGGATTAAGTTGGTTTGCCATTTAGCAGCCACTCATGACTGCAAGTGCTTTGGAGACAGCTTTTAGCTCTTGTCTGTTCCTAAGGAGAGGTTTCCTACATCATCATCTCAAAGGCAAAACAAGGTTAAGCAAAAACGACAGAGATGGTGAAAATGACAGTGAACAGCACAGTGCTGAAGCGCCCCATGTCCATGCATTCCAGTCCCTTCGGAGGGTAATTTATAGTGCTCGTGTCTGCAGTCTGAGCTATTAGTATACTCACCCCTAACAAGAAGTTCTGCCTCATCTGACACACTGTCTGCTGTGGTCTGTACCCTGCAGCCATATCTCCCAGCATGCATCAGAAGGATGTTCCTGATCATTAAATCTGCAGAGGATGCTTGCTGAAAGAGGGATGAAGTGCCAGTTTAAAATGTTGCAAATCTGCCTAATTCAAGGTGGTTTAAGGGGGAACTTTACATATTCAAAGGGCCCATCTTTGGCCTTACCATTTATAAGACAACAACGCAGACATCAAACATGCCCTGTCTTAAGGAGTATATCAAGTTATACTTTTCACAATCGCTCAAAAAGAGTTTTAACATTGAATATTGCATAAAATGATTTAGCATCAATAGTTAAGAGGTATTGAAGTATATACCAAACACTCTTTAAAAGTATAGGAAAATCACTAAAAGTTACTGCTTTGTTATTGAAAGACAGGCCTATTTTTATGACAGTAAAACTGTGTGGAAAGAAATAGCAACTAGTGGGACATTAATTATGAGAAGGTAGTTGTTGAAAGATTATCTCACGAGGATTTATTGAATATTTCCTTTTGTAAGTACACCATGGGCCACAGAATGTAACAGCACTTAGGAGAGATGGCTGGTCCTCAGCCATGTGTTTTTTTGTAACAAAGATACCATCCTCCCATAGCCACCGTCATCAAGGGGCAGGGGCAGCCTGAACCCATGTTAGTGCAGCCATAAAAGAAAAGGAATCTTGAGCAACACTTGACTTTTGTTGGGAACAGAATGATGAGAGCCTAGTTCAATTACTGCAGTTAGGTGATCAATAAGTGCCAGGAAGAGAATCTTTTGATGTATTGCTTATGGGATGAGGGAGGGCCCTGTAGATGACTGTCCAACTGATATAAACCCTTCCTTACCTAGCACTGTCCTTCAATGACTTTGTCACAATTAATGACTTTACTGTGATCGTGTAAAGACCTGGTATTGTTATATCTCATGTCTCCTCCCCCCTGACAAACCCCACTTTTAGTTTGTTCTTTGAGACATGGTTTCACTATGCATGGGCTGGACTGGAATTCAATATTCAGTCCAGGCTGGCTTTGAACTTGCAGTAATCCTGATCTTTCTGGTTCAGCCTACTGAGTGATGGGATTATAGGGCCACTGAACCTGATGATTTATTTTCTCCCCCACAGGGTAAAACAATAGAACGACCTCAATATCCCCTTATTTCATGCTGCAAAGGAGGGAAGTTTGGCTTGAATGTGCACAGTTTATAATAACATCCTCCAGGAATTAATGCATAAACTGAGTGCTTAAAAAATGCTTAATAAACTATCCCAGAGAAGGACCCCCAGATCCAAGAGCTTTTAATGTTGGATGGAATGAAGGAACATTACTTTTAAAGACAATGTGTTTGTCCTTACAAGGTAAAACATACTAATAATTATTTAAGAATTTAGTTGTTTGCTTTTGTTTTGAAATAAATGAATGGGTTTGTCATATCATGAAAAGAAAACTGATGTCTCGGGATCCCTGATTTTTATCCTCAGTGTTTATAGGAAGGATATGTTGTTATGAGCTGTTAAAGCTCTCATCACACAGAAGTTCTTTTCTTTCAATGAATTACTTTGTGATCCCCCATGTTTTAGACTCTCTCTTCTCTCTCTCTCTCTCTCTCTCTCTCTCTCTCTCTCTCTCTCTCTCTCTCTCTCTCACTCTCTCTCCCTCTCTCCTAGTTATTTTTCCTTATGGCTAATCTTACAATTGGAGAATCTAAGGGTATAGGAATTTTTTCTCATGAAGTAATTTGGTAAGACATAGTCTCATTGATTCATATACAAGAAACTGCTTCATAGCAAGAATGCATTAAAAATGAATCAAAATGTCACAACAATTACTTTCAGAATGAAATAAATGTCCATCAAATGTCATAATGATGACTTCCTTAGGATATACCCTTACTCACAAACCTAAGGAGATTCATTTCCTATGTGGTTGCTTTCTGGTGGGATGAAGAAATGTTATCCACCTTCTCATCTCGCCTAGACCAAGTGCTCAGTTCTTTCAAATACAAAGTGGAAACTTTAAAACACTCTGATCTTTCATTTTAGTGGAGAAACAAAAGAAGATTAAATATTATAAGCAGTTGTTCAGATTCTAGTCAAGATCATTTTAAGTGATGGAATATTTGTTTCCAGCAGTTTGGGACCACCCTGGCCCCCCATGCTACAGGATTCTAGGGGCTCATTCAACCCAGACACTTAGCTTAGTAGCCAGGAGTCACTGAGTAGTACATTACTGGACCAGAATGGGAAACCTGTCTGATGAGAAAGTAGAGAAGAAGCCACAGACATAGCAGATTTTTTTTCTAGAAATAACTCCACCTGTAAGGATGGCTGTCATTTCTCTTGCATTATTCTGGGGCTGTTATTTGTTTTACTTATTTATTCGTTTATTTATCTATTTATTTGTTTATTTATTTATTTGTTTGTTTATTTTTGAGACAAAGTTCTCAGTAGGGTGTCAAGGCTAGTCTCAAACTCAGAATCCTCCTTTGTCAGCCACTCAACTGCTGGGGTGACAGGTGTAGCGATCACCTCAGCTTTGCTCTGGGTTGGAAGCATCCCACCACCAAATGAATTTGGTAGCAGTTTAAAATCAGCAAGGGTAAGGCTTATGGCTTTGAAAGTGAATTTGTAGCAGCACACTCCTGTAATTAAATAATTCACATTTCATTTTACAGGTATTTTCCTCCTAAATAATTTATTTTCTTTTGAATTTGAAGAAAAATTTTCAACCCATTTACTTTCTGTGGAATCGAATTGAGAGTGAATATTAATGGAAAGATGAATAGAGTACTTAGGGTCATATAAACATGCAAATAATTCAGGGTCCATAGAAATAATCTCTCCTTTGCTGTCTGTGTGTGGCTCCTGAGACTAGAACTCCATCGTTATCTAGTGGTACAAAATGTCTGCAGCCTGGTGCACAGACCTGGATACCAGCCTAGTGAGGAGTTGAAATTGGCTCATTTTGGGCTGATATCTTTTCTTTTGGATTATACCTGCATTATATTTTTAAAATCCTAAACAGGCGCGCTTATAAGCAAAGTGAATGGACTGTGAACAGTAAACCTAAATTACTCTTTCTGTAGATTTACTGCTCTTTCAAGAGAAGTAATGAGGAGAATTCACACGGGAACCCATTATCCTTAATCTGAGCCCACAATGTGCAGCTCCTGTGAGAAACTCTGCAATTCGTGCAACTTTAATGAAATGGTTACTTACAGGGAGCTTTGCTTTCTTCAATTCAAACTTGGTTTCCACATCTTGTCTCTCAGGAGGCATTCTCCCTCTCCTCTGACTCTCATTCTCCTTCCTTTCTTTTCTCTCTGCTGGTTTTGGTTTTATAAGCAAACGGTGTTACCTGTTACTGCAAATGAACTTCTCCACAACCAGGGCTTAACCTGGTGCTTCAACTAAAGCCCCATATTGGTGCATGGGGGTCTTTAGAGGGACAGCTCTGCCTGTGAGAACAGTGGGGATTGGCTGTTCACTTTTCCTGGTCACACAATCTTGTTAGAGCACTTGGGATTTCTGTTTATAACTTGGAAATAAAATAGGAAAACGGTGGCTATCTTTCCACCTAAGTTCAGTTTCTAAATGAACTCCCTCCCTCCCTCCCTCCCTCCCTAATGTGAGAAAGTACTCCCTCTCTAGCCCAGGCTGATATCAAATTCCATATGTAGCTCAGACTGGCTTCAAACTCATCCTGCTGCTTTAGTTCCATCCTTCTAAGTGGTAGATGACAGACATGAGCCTCTACACTAGGAAGTAGCCGCTTTTTTAGTTAGACTTCACTCTAAGAACCTTGAGCAGCCCTGCCCGGCGGAACACTGCCAATTGTATTCCTAAGAATGGAAACTCAAGCACAGGGACAAATAGCCAAACGAATGGAAACACATGAACTATGAACCAATGGCTGAGGGGTCACAACTGGATCAGGCCCTCTGAATGGGTGAGACAGTTGATTGGCTTGATCTGTTTGGGAGGCATCCAGGCAGTGGGACTGGGTCCTGTGCTCATTGCATGAGTTGGCTGTTTGAAACCTGGGGCCTATGCAAGATCGCTTGGCTCGGCCTGGGAGGAGGGGACTGGACCTGCCTGGACTGAGTCTACCAGGTTGATCTCAGTCCGCGGGAGAGGCTTTGCCCTGGATGAGGTGGGAACAGGGGGTGGACTGGGGAGAAGGGGAGGGGGGCCGGAGGGGGGAGAACAAGGGAATCCGTGGCTGATATGTAGAACTGAATTGTATTGCAAAATAAAAATAAAAATTAAAAAAAAAAAAAAGAATGGAAACTCTTTCTTGGATCTGCTGCTCAGTGTCTGTGGGTTCTGTTTGAAGTTCAAGTTCTGGACCTCAGTAGCGAAGGCTCTATGGAGTCAGCCTCTCCTGCAGCCGAGTGCTGTGATGCAGATCAGCCCCTCCCAGCAGTGCGCCCTTGGAACACCCCCTCCCCCCGCCCCGCCCCCTCCCTCCTAGGTGCAAAGGCTTTGTAGTGGGGCAGACGTTCTTTTCCTGAGCAATTCAATTCAGATCCCGTCAGCTAGGCTTCCTGCAGTCTCCCTTAGCTCATTCCCTGAACTTAACCCTTTCTGTGCTGGAAGTGTCTCCCACTGTCTACCGTGGGCATTCCCAGAGCTGAGCAAGGTCAAAGTTGCCGAGTTGCCCAAAGCCAGTAAGCAAATTAAAGCATGAACGCAGCTAGGGCCTCCTTCTCCTTTCTTTGCGGCTGACAGTACCTCTCCTCTGTTCTCACTGTATTTCCTAGAAGGAATTAGGAGTGAACATAGAAAAAGACACCAGAGAAAGGCAGGTGGGGTGAAACACTTGAAAGGAGATATTGGTTTAGGAGCGGTGTTGTATAAATCCAAGCTCTCCTTCCTGATTTCTAGACAAAATGGTAAGAGGTTCAAGGGTTCAAGGCCTCTCTCAGGCTTTTGTGAGAAGGCCAGTAAAGCCCCTAGCAGTATTTCTGGAACCTGGTTAGCGTTTGACAAATACTGTGGTCAAAGGGAGCCTAACTGCACTTTCAGCAGTCTTTCTTCAGTGTTCACTCCCTGTCCAAGCTGAATACCAAGATTTTCA